CTCTTTTGAAGAGAAAAAACACTGCAGTCAAATTGCCTCGAGTGCCCGGACTCAAAATGAAAGCAGACAAATGACGTCCATTTTATCTGAACTATGCATAATGCATTTTCTCTATCTCTGATTTATGCACTCATCACATCATATATTCCGCCATCTCCTCCGAGCTGCAGCCTTTTAAGTCCTGATTGCAATTAGGTGCTGTATATATGCTTCACTTTCATCTCGGCTGTATGGAGCTAACCAATATTCTGCTGCAGCAGTTGTAACACACCCAACAAAAAAAATTTATTTGCACGGTGAGGGATTGCACCATAAATAAAAATAACTCCATGCCTTTACAAGTGAAACGAAGTGAAGCCTACACTGGCCTCATGCAAACTGCAGTGCAGTTCCTTGGTAGTCTGCATGGCATAAAATGAACACTTGTCTATATCGGTTTCATTTTCATTTATCTATTATCATCAGAGCATGCTATATTCAGAAAATAATGATAGTGTGGTAATTGAATCTCACCTTTACCCACTTCCTGTGAGTCACATAACAGCAATCACATGAGCTTGCAAGCATCTGAAGATGCACGAGAACCACATTTGTGTGACCGCATTTTAAAACCTAGCGTAAAAATTTGCAGGATTTTCGTACTTTTCACCCTGTTTGTGCTCGTGATTTGGCCTTGAAGGCGCTGTGCAAACAGGCTCGGGGGTGGGGGAACTAGGATACAGCCTGTTGTAACCAAAACCATGTGCTGTGTGCAGCATACCATGTGGTGCCTTCTCGACATCTTCAGACTGTTGGAAGGCAGGAGGGTGGGGGTTGGGGAGGGGAGCTGGTTAGGAAACCACAACATGACAAATGTTGTACTAATAACGCTGTCACACCGACCAGTGCCAGTTTGGGGAAGACTGTTGGGTAGTCGTTTGACACATAAACGACTATATAAGGAGTTCCTCTTTGTGCATTCTAGTACTTTAACTTGGGCAAGGAGGGCTGCAGCTTGTTACTGTCGCCTCAGTGTCAACAAGACCCATTAACCGTTTGAGAGTTGCAGAAGTGAACTCATGTGACCTGTGATGCGTTTTAAATGCGGAAGATTCCAGGTTACTTGCATTTTCCTGCGCAAATATTTAGTGCAGTAATGAAGCATGTTTTGGCCACACGAATTTGCCCTTAATTAGTCCCATACATCCAGCATTCAGACTTCAGCGTGACATAGTTAAGCACATAGCAGCACGTCTTATAAAAGCAAGGCAATCTGAATAACTACTGCATGCTACTATAATACCAGAGACAGATGGCAGGAGAGGAATGTCGTCTGACTACCGCAACCCGGAGTGTGACAGGGACATGCTCTACTAAGTGAGAAGAATGCGTTGTGACACTCCTCCGGGGCACCTTGTGAACAGCGTGACAGTGGCATGAAAGCGTCAACATGCCAGTTTTCACAGCACACCCCTCTCTCTTTGCAGGACTGCCAAGACTACCGACACTTCAGTTCAACTTCCACACCAAAGGAGAGACTTGCAGCCGACTGATCCCGCTGCTCTACCGTTTTGCCATCAGGAAGTTTCGCCCAGCTTTGGAACAAAAAAATAAAAAAATATGACTCTGTGCGCAGCAGGATGGTAGATGAGCTCAACCGTTGCCCGAGGCTGCTATTGTCACTGATGGCTGCAAATAGATTTTATATAACTCAATCAACACCACCTTGGCTGCACAGTGAGCTCACTCTCCGCCTTTCATAAACAGCTGTTGCACCGGATCATATTCTGGCGTTACACAAAGACCTCGGCAACGCTGTGACTACCGTACAATGGTATTTTTATGTTGCGCACCAACAAAACAAAGATGACTCTGTTGGGTTTGCCCAAAAGCACAGATACACAGTAACTGGTGTCTTTCCAAGCCCAGCCCTCGGGAGTTTTGTGCTGCTTGTTTTGGCAGACAGAGAGTATTTTGGCAGACAATGACAAACCTCCTCAACTGTAATCAAACCAAAAGAACGCCAACACCCTCTTTCAAGTATCAGTATCTGTGTCCCTTTTTGTCTATCACTGTATGTTTGTCTGTTCTTTACAGTAAGTGCACAAACCAGATCCAGCTTCACCCAGTAATCAGTCCAGCACCGTCTAATTTAAGTAGGGAAACAAAATTACCATTAATGTCTTTACCAAATAGGGAGACTAGTAATTTCCTTGTCTTTACGTCAAGGGAAATGGCTCAAAAAATAGGTTGCATTCTCTCAGGATGAATTATTACCATTCATTCTGATGCCCTGCGGGCAGCTAACGCATCATACGGACCCATATTTCTTGGCAGCGAACATATTAGAGTTTGAACCCCTGTCATGACTACTCTGCAACCTTGCTGATACCCTGTAACCACCTCCAGTCGTAATCAGAATGTCAGACTGGAGGAGGGAGGGTGAATAATTGATGCTGTGTCTTTTGGGTTTGCTCATTTCACCAAGCAAAAAAAAAAGAAGTTTCTTGCCTTCATGGCCTGCAGCAAAACACTTAGCTTGCTTGGCACAGCGTTCAGCTTCTAAAGGGATGATGCATTGCTCAGAGAGCGCTTCTTTTTTTTTTGCCAAACCATCACATAAGATTCGACACAGGAAAAACAAACTTGTAGAGGAATAAAACTCCGGATGAACTCCTATAGCGCTGAAAACGAGAGGGAGACATCAAAGCAATTTTTACGACACGCACAAACGCTCATATCCACGAGGCTAAATCATGTCATTAGTGCATGAGATGACATCTTCCTGTAAGTAGAACACATAGTTTAGTAGGTGGAGGTGGCTGTGAGGCTGAAGGGTGTTGGCAGAGTCTTCCACTTCTGCCGTGACAGCCAGACATCAGACAAACAGAGAGCCGACAGAGACTTAGAGCTGAGAATAGCAGAGGTGCCCTTTTGTTTCCGTGCAGCCAGGAAACATTGAACTGTCCTGCAGTCTATCACATCCCACTTTGGGGGGGAAAAAAAGCAGGATTTGCACACAAACTAACTCTAACAACATTAAAACAGGACCTGAGTCAAGACCATGTCGTCCCTGATAATGGCTGTCTTTCAACTGGTCATTTGCTAAATCCTGGATTCTGTTGTTTGGTGTGCTTTCTGTTCACACGTGGTACCAATACAGTTTCAATTACTGCTACCTATTACACAATTACAGCATGATAAAAAAAAAAAACACTGCTGGGTTTGAAAGATAAAACATAACACATTACAGTGAAGTGTGGAAGTCCACCCATAAAAATCAAAGATTTAAACTTCAGGGTAGTCTCCTTGGGCTGTTTAGATTCAAGCTGGACTTTCACCGTGGACCCCAAACCTGAACAGAAAGCAAGCATCAGCCTCTGAAGACTTCTGAAACAGTCTAACTAACATTTGGTGATATGAACTGGGTCTCTGGCCATATCCTGGTGACTTACAAGCACTGTAGTAATCTCTAGTATCCAAGGCCAAAGGACACACAAGATGTGAGGATCAGTTTTGCACTGGAGAATTTGGGGTTTGTTTCAGAAGAAACAACCTGCTCTGGAGTGCTTGTGATTTTGCCATTGTGCCGCGGTAAACAGCACAGTGAAAACGGAGAAACAGAGTTTCTGGTGATCCCAAGAAAGTCTTTGCTAACAAGCCACCCAAAGATTTGGCTCCTAACAACTTCGCCCTCTTCATTAAAATGAATATTATCTGCAGGTAATAAAATTCCACAATGAAACATGTATGTCACTTGCATTGCACGTGTTCTTCAAATAAATGCACAGTTAAAATCGGGTTTTAGAAAGGTATCAACTACCTAACAAAAAATACCATGCATACAACTTCAACAAGTACAGTAATCCAAAGCTCAGCAGACCCTAGCAGCTCCTGACCCTAGTTACTAAGCCAGGATAAGCTATTACAATTGCTGTTTGGGGGAGGACTTGAGCAAATTGCCAAATATAAGTGTTTTTCCAACATTTTACCTCCAGTCTAAAAGCTGACATATATCCAGAAAGGATTTGTTTTAGAAATCACTCCCATCTCCACGGCCAATGTGCCAAAGCCACCTGCAATCACAGCTTTTCTCATCTCATGTCAGATGCTAAAGTTAGCTTCTATGGCCTTATCTACAAACAGCACTAAACCCAACTGTCTTTAGCTAGTGTTATCTCCCCGTCTAAGTGATATACAGCACCTGCTGCCTGTCACAGATAGACTTAGCCCACACTAAATCCAGCCAGGATGTCCACATTAACGCAAACACGCCACAAAGTTCACCTGCATTACATGTTTTGGCAGAGAAATCAATGATAAATCTCAGTCTTCATAATGAAAAATGTTCAGGGAAGTACTTATTGCCAAGCAATAATCCCAAGGATGGGTTATTGTATTTTCTTTATTGATCCTTCAGATTTATGCACCCACACTTGGATTTGTTGCCTGTTGCTGTAAAGAAATAAAATGTATCTAGCATAGTGAGAGACACATTTCCACACAAAAAAACCCTCTTTAGTTCTTGGCAGGCTCGATATTAGCTCTTAAAATCAACCATTAATCCAGAGACATCTTGTCACTGTCAATCAGACAGGCGGATCCATGTGTTTGTCTGTGTTTGTCTCACAGTCGCTAGTCAACATAAAAACACAACCTTGGCATCAATTTGTCAGCTTGTCTGGATGGGTCTTAAAATCAGGTCATTATCGCAGCAGGCACAAATCCGCTCTTAGATTGCTTGAGGTAGCGATTCTTACATAAGGCCACCCAACAACTTCCAAAACCATAAACTTATGAGAAACATCCAACAGGTTCAGACTGCATATCGTTCAGGGTGAGCTCTTGTTTGTACTGACCAGTAATCTGAACCTTTTCCATGTCGAGGTTAACAAGTTGCTTCTAAATTGGCAGATGAAGCTCATGTGCAGATGAACCCACTGGGTTTCTGATGCAACATGTTAAATAATGAGAATCGGAGTGGTACTGCTTTCTGCAGCCAACAAATAACTGAAGGGAAGTCAGGTTTGAACCCCAGTGGGATTTTTAAAGCTGCAACTTAGCACAGACGGGAAAAAAATTACAAAAGTGATATGTTTTATGGGCTTTCTCTTGATTGGCTGTCACCGAGCTAAGAAAATACTGCTCGGCTGTATCCTCCAGAGTGTCACTGCTCCAGTAGCAACAGGAAATTTATGGCAGTCCAAGCTCTCATAAGGTCTCTGGGAAAAAAAAGAAATAAGATGGAGTCACTGGAAACAGCACACACACACTGTACTTTATTCTGTAATTCCTCCTTTTACACAACTAGTTACGATTCAGTCAGCTTGGTGTCACAGGACTTGTCATCTGTTTGGAGATGACGCCAGCTGCAAGTTGTTCAAAACACAAACTGAGTCATGAGCCCAAAGCATCCAAAATCAGAGTTTGGTTTTGATCCTCGACAGAGAGTTTCCTTTAAAAAATGTTCTGGCAAAATCAAACATTTTATTTACAGTCAACAAAGGATTTTCACTCTCATTTTCAAAGTGAAAGTTCACCTTTCTGAACCGCTCACCACAACGTATACCATTCATTAAGTATATTTTTGACTCATCCTCACCAGAGCGCGCCTGCTTTTCTGGAGGGCATGGTTCAAGACCAGGGTAGGGCGTGTACCTTCGAGTTTATGTGTGTGTGGGTGGCTGGTTTAGTGTCTGAATGAAACAGCATGGGAGAAGAGGGAGAGGAAGAGGGGGGGAATGAATAACGTGTCAGGCTTTTTAGTTGAGAGACTTCTTGTGTTGATGAATAATTGAGCTGTAGTCAGGCAGAGAGCTATTTCATGAGCTCCTCTGTCTCCTAGATAAAATTAGACCCTTCTCTCTGTGTAGACAGTCTCTTTGAACTGCTACTGTCTCAGAGCATCACTCGGCTCTCTCTACAGCCCGCTTGTGCCTTTTTGAGCAATAAGTCTCAGTAGATATGAGGAGTGAGACAAACATGCTCGGTGGACGAGGGGAAATCTGTGTTATACAAGCCAGGAAGCAGAAAAATTGTACTTTACCGGGCTCTGTTGTAGGTGAATTTCGTGTGTGTGTGTGTTAAACGTATTAGAATAAAAGCACTAATATTGTTCTTGTGTTGATTTGGGGCCCTAATTTGATATTCAGAGCTCCCCTCTGCAGAAGCTGTAATGAAGTTCTGTCTCTCCTCTGTCTACCTGTCATACCAAGATCCCCCAGGCTTTCCTGTCTTTGCCCGGCCTCTGAATACCCACAGCCCATCTCAATCTGTCACTCCTGTCAGACCCACAACGCCACCAAAGAACCCAGAAAGTAGGACACTGAGAACTCATAGCACACACACACTGAGAGAAATGTTTCATAAATTGTAGTGAAAAATACACATTTTGCGACAGAGGCCTCAGAGTCCGTCAACGTAATATCTGGTGTTATCTGTGGACAGCCAGCTCTAAATGGGGCATTCAGTGACTCTTCAAAGCCCCCGTTTCTGCGGGGCAACTCGGGCTGCATTGTTACTGTTTTAATTAGAACTGCTTCTCGCCTGCTCCCTGAGATCCACCCAGCCTCAACATCAAAGCGCTGCTCTGAATAATGATGTACCCCTCCATGCCTCAGGTACAGCCTGAATCCCCACCACCCCAACCCACCTCTTCTCCTTATATCCCTACACCCCTCCCTCCACACCTCTTTGTACCTCTCTGCTTCCCAATTTACTGCTATTTCTCTGCGTGCTGACATAACACTATTTTGTCATGTTCGGGGCAGCGAGTTGACGGCGGGCTTTCCGTGCGTTCGTGTTCAATAAGGCTATGGTAGTCTGGCGCTTACAGTCTCGAGAGTCAATTTCTTTCCATCTGTCCTCTACGTACTGGGTTTAAATCTAACTTCGGTTCTTTCTATGTGGAATTTGCATGTTTTCTACAGGTACTCTAACCCCTTCCCAGAATCCTCAGCCTATGCAAGTGATCTTAACAGGAGATTCTAAATTGGCCGAAGCAGTAAATGTGAGTTTGCTTATCTGTCTCCATGTGTAACCCGTAGAGTGACTGATGACCTGATAAAGGTGTAAACCTCCCATCGCTCTAGATCCACCACCCAACCCCTGACCGTGCACTGGATAATCCAAAGAAAATTGATATAGATGTAATTTAGTCACATATCTAATTTTTCTGAACAAAAATCATTACAGTCCTTTATCAAAAGTCCAGAAAGCACAACATACAGTAAATGTATGACCTAATTTTACAGATCACATTTACAGAGAGAGATGAAGTCGATTTCATGGCGGCGGTCCCTTTATATCACAACAGAAGAAGAGAAAAGGGAAGTTTGATGTGTTACTTTCGCTCAGCAAACTAAAAGCCTCACAGTTCAGTCTTTGCAATGGAAATGCCAGCTGAACTCAAGGTCAAGCTTTTTGTTTTTTTCCAGCAGCTTTCGACTGTTCGAAATGATCTTCACCTGCATCAGTTACGAGCTGCCTCATCGAACACAGATTAAATTAATGTTGCGTAGCTCAAGATTAGCATTATAAGGGACAAACTCATTTATGGCTGCGTAATGAAATTCATCAGACTGCTAGTGAGGGCATTAACAGGCTCTTTAAATGCTTATTTGTACAAAAGCAATTATTTGTCACTGATTTACAATACATAAGAAGTAGACACACTTAAATGTTGCAAATAAAGAAAGCTACCCTCTTAACAATCAAACAAAGCTATAATAACAAGAGAAAGTAATCCATTGAGAATCTTTCTGCCCATGCTGGGCTCAAGCTTAGCTCTTTCCTTTAAAAACATCACCTCATATAATCCATCCTCTGTCTCATATTGGCTTTCACTGGCGTTCCTCTGTGCTGACTCAGAGCTGCATTCCTCATACACTCCTGTAAACACACACAAGAATGAGGCAACACCAACAAAGTCTCATGAAATATAAAGGTTATGCAATCTCTTGAATCACTGTGCACTCAGCTGATTATTCACTAGGCATGACACCCATTAAGGCAGATCATATTTTAATGAGTTTAAAACATAGTAGCATCTAGGAACCTAGGAAGCAATGCACAATTATGTAACTCTTAACCTTCTCTTGAATTGCATTGTGTATTGTATTCAAAGCAGGTCACGGATCATCCTCCAGTCAGATGGCGGCTCATTGTGGGGGCTTAATTTAATAATCTGATTTACATAAAACTGGAAGGGGTGTTTAAAATTGCAAGGAAATCTTCACCATGTGTGACTTTTCAAAGTCGTACAATGTTTCGGCTGAAGTATCAAAACTTTGCTAAAGTAAAGGTTATTTTAGCTCATCTATTCCCCTTTCCTGTAAACGGAAACAAAACATTTTCATTATAAATATAAAATCACCAGAACTTCTTTCAGGAGTTTGTCATATAATATTGCAATATTTAGCAATAATGTAGCACAACAAATATATACACTCTAGTGTACAAAGTTCATGTAATATGACCTTATGAGAATAGTGCAACTAATTATTTCCTAAATTCACAGCTAGTTGGTGTCATTTTTAAACCAAACATATTTCCAGTATTTCCACTAGTGCTACATGCTAGGCTAATTATAGCTAAACATAATTCTTACAAGTAAAACTGCCTTAATATAGCAAATTTGTCTTAAGAGGCATAAATGAAAGAATAGTTTTGACATTTTTAGAAAAGACATTTGAAAAAATAGTTATTCAATAATGAAATAAACAGAACTACTGGTAAACATGGCGCAGTAGCCAGGAGACAGCTAACTCAGCTTAGCATAGCAAATGAAAACAGAAGGTATGGTTAGCTTTCTATGTCCAAAATAGAGATATACTTACAAAAGTCACAAGAAAGTCCCTCACAAGACATGCAGATAGCCCCCACTACAACTTTTTCCATTACCTATTTGTGAAATGTTGTCAATGACTAAGGATTTTTCTGAATAACTGTTGCTATTCTTAGTCTTTAAGCTAATCTAAACACTTCCTGACCTGCCTCTTTCAATGTATTCTTCAATGCATTAGCCAAATGTTTAACTAATCCTTTAAGAGCAGCAGTGCTAGTTTCAGGCTGTACATGTGATGTACAAACCATGTTTCAGCCCAGAAATGATGTAAATTAAGACTCCCTGCTACAGTAATAAGGTCAACTGAAGAAAAACACATGTTCTTGTATAAATCACATTAGCAAGCATTGCAGAAGGGATTGAAAATACATAATTTTTCCAACCTTTATATTCCACCCCTTCTTTTGTTACAGCAAGCTTAGCACAGTAATCCTACTTTGAGCGTGCTGCATTTGAATTTTTAATCTTAGGTAAAGGCGGTGTGCTGCTTTGCTTGTTAGGACGAGAATAGCAGTGCTACAGCAAAATTACCATGTGGCCTCCGACATCTTCATCAGGCAACAAAGTGCCTATTTTTGTTTGTTGTCTGGATAAAGGCCTGTCAGCTGGCTACAAGGCCGGGATTAATTGCCGTGGTTGAGGTGATGTAGTGTTTTCTTTGGTCATGTATTGATGGGGGTTGCTTTGGCCCGTTTAACCTGTGAGGCCTTTAGGGAGTAGAACATTGAGAGCAACCTAAGGCCAAAGTCTGACGCATCTATCATGAGGATTACATCACTTACACCATCAAAGGTCAGTCACATTAGGTGTTCACAGTTTCCTCTGTGAAAGAGTTGCAGCAGTTTAAAGTGTTGCAGTGAGTTAGCTGTAAAATGTCAACATGTTTCTTTGCAATTTAATCATTTTGTGTGGCGTCGCCTTCTCTTCTGCCTCAGTTAATGATGGTACTCAGACAAATAGATGGAGTTTTCTAGAGTAAGTCTTTCTACTGCAGCTTCCCGCTGGGAAAACGACCGTACTGAGAGAACAGTGAACTCACTGTACTCTATTTTTGTGTTATTGGATGAATACATGCATGTTTGTGTTTGTGCGATGGGGCGGGGTGGGAGCAGGGGGGTTGTGTTAGCGTGGGCGAGCCAGTGAAACAAAAATCAATGCTGTAATTGGCGCGCACCTCCTGATGAAGCTATTTGAGAATCGCAGCCCCAGAGGTCACGGAGAGGATGACCCATGACGATGACATCAGAGCCCAGAGCACAACAACAAACGCGGTCTTGTTGCAGCAAAAACAAAGGATGTTTGTTTGCCGGGTCCTTTTTTCTCTTTCAAGATCCATCCTGTGAGTTGAGAATGTGACGATGCAGTACACTGACCTTTGTTTCTCTGGTAACAGACTCTCTCTGTCGGTCTTCAAAGTACTGAAGGGGGCGAGGGGGTGGGGCTCAGAGTAGCCTTTGGTGTTGAGTGCTGATCACATGAGAAGCTGAAATAACAAAGCAGCCTGATCTACACACAGTCATGTGAGTCAGATCTCTAAATACCTGGACTAACACTGATTCCTGATCAAGTAAATAAGCATAAAGGAGAAAATGAGCCTAAGAAATGCATATTAAAATGGATCTATAAATCCTATACAGCCCTACTGTGGAAGTACATTGAAATAGTATCATGACTTTCATTTCCCAGCCTCCTCAATGTCCCAGACACTGAAGATAACAACACCAGTGCAATGAGTCAGCACAGTCATCCATCCTTCTAAGGTTATTGGCAAGCCCCTCTGAGGATAACATGACATGACAGTGGAGCTGCTAAAGTCTTCTGTCTCCTGCCTCTTCACAGAGGTGTACGCAGTTATGAGGGGAACAAGATGCAAATTGCAAATGTTAGACCAAGCATGAAAATGCGAGGGAAAGTGATTTATGGTGCAATCTGTGAGTATCCCTCTTAATTAATATCGTGTCATATTGTCCATGGACGAGGTTTCTCTGATGAAGCACGGGAACGAGAAGACACTGGAAATCCTGGACGGCTTTCAGTAAAGGGGCACCGAGATAAATCAAAGATAGTTTTTGAAGTACGAGCCATAAGGGACGTGTGATTAAGTAAATGACACGGCGTCTTTCTCGCACACGGCAGGCCAAACGTGGCTGTAATATTACTGCCACGTGTGAGATGAATGGAAATGGGAACGTTGTGTCTGTGGAAAAAGATCCACGATAACATTTACAGCCAGCAGAGAGTGTTAATGGCAGTGTGATGGCTGACATTAACATTTCAGGCATGTAACAAGCTGCCGGCATGGAGCAGCTACCTGCGATTCGTGCACATTACCACCAACGTGATAAGCCAAAGTCTGTGTTACAGATTGTTGCACAATTGTGTTATGTGTTTATACACCACCTTGCATTTAATCGTGAAATATTATTACGTTTTATTAATCCTCAGATTTCTTCCTGTTAAAAGGGGGTTTTTCTTTCCCGCTGTCACCAAGTGCTTGCTCAAAGAGGTTCATCTGATTGTTGGGCATTTCTCTCTATTTATGTAGGGTCTTTAGTTTATTATATAAAGTGGCTTGAGGTAACTGCTGTTGTGATTTGGCGCTATATAAATAAAACTGACTTGAAATTGGTTCTCACATATTTGTATACCACTGAAAAATGCAAAGCACGGGATAATAATGAGAACTACTGTAAGTATGTTTTTAATTAAATGAAAGGAGTCTGCACAAGTGTAATAAAATAGCAGCTTCAATACTTACCCGATGAAATAAATACAAATCACTTTTTTTCTTTAATTAAATTGTAGTTAAACTTAGCAGTTGTGGTTATTGAATGAATGATAAATGATGCATCTGGTATTTCTATATCATTTATGTTATGCAACAGGAATGCAATGTTTTTATGTGAGATGACAATAAAGCTCTTACAAAACTCTTGAATATGATAATCGTAATGATTGTGAAAGTAAAATCAGATATCATAGTATAAAATTATGCAAGGTTACATCAGGGTTTCTCTGATTCTGTTGCTCTTTCTATTCTGATGCCATATAGGGAAATATATAACAGATATACTGAATTGTTGGATTTGTCATTACAAATGACATTACTTACGTGGGACAAGTTGAATCATTTCATATAAGTCTCACAGGTAAAAAGTGCTTGATAAAATAATTTAACCTTAATTTCCATTTGGTAGCTGTTTAGAAGCGACCTGGATTTTTACAGTTCAAACTCCATCTGCTGATGACAATTGTGTTGCTAATGGACAACCAAATGGGCTTTTACATTTGTTTTGGATGTCAGGAGTGAGCTCTGAAACTCTAGATGAAATGTAGTTTGGATCAAACGCTGCATAAAACTTTGATTGTGACAGGCTATCAGCAGCCCCTCCCTTCATGTATGAAAGGCAGCCAGAAATACTGCCAATCATCGGAGATAGAGAACGCATCCAGTCTTTGTGCTCACGTCTGTGCCCGTCGCTCAGCCTGGTACTGTCAGCAGTTCCGCACCCCCTCAGGATTCCCGCAGCGCCATGTGGCAACGAGGGTCACATTGCATTCTGGGAGAAACTCTCCTATGATCCCCCTCTGGGCACAAACCCCCACCTCTCCGCTAACAATCTTGCCCGGTCTCCTCCAAAAATTCCTCTGCCCCCCAGGGCACTGCACAGCCCAAAATAACAGGACACATCAGCACTTTCATCTGCACCCCTGAGCAAGCTCAGACACTGCAGCAGCAGCTGTTAGACCACTCGCAGGCACGGATAGTTCTGAAAAGTACTAAGGCACTATAGTTGGCACACCCCTTTCCCCCTCTAGTGATACGAGCACAGACTGAGCCAGACTTGGATAAGAGTGCCAAGCTAGGTGGGGCTGACAGAGTTGTCCTTTAGCCGTCCTTCAGAGAAAGACACTGTAAGATGAACACACTGCATAAACACCAGTTTGCCGCTATGGTATCCTATTAAGGCTAAGTCTGGGTATTAGATGGTAAGGTAATCAGTGACATGTAAGGGCTTATTGTCAAAATTTATACCACGTATGGCCACAAGATACATTCTTAAACTCCTCTGGCCTTCCTAAATTTCCCTGGCTATTTGATGAAAGCCACAATACAGACAGAGCAGAGAGAGTACTGAGATAAAGGAGGATTTCTTCCTGGGATACAAACTATACACTTCAAACAAAGCACAATACAGGCTGTTCCACAGATAAATATATTTATCGCTGTAAAATAAAAAAATAATGGTATCAGCAGAGTAGCAGAAAAAGTTACTTAGATAAAGGTCACAGAGGCCGTTTAGGTTACTGTGTCACTTTGTAGATCAACACAATAAAACACATGACCTCTGTTGAAAGTTGCGACTTTGCAACAGAGAATCCTGATGTATCTGAAGAGATTGTTTCGCAACACCTGATGGAGGAGTATAGACCTGCTGGTAATAACTCACAGTCAAGCTGTTTGCTGCAGGGTACAAACATCAACCTTATGTGCAAAGGAGGAAACAGAAATATGTACTGTAGTGTAGGAAGGATACAAAAACCTCAGTACTTTGAAGATAAAATGATTTAGATATTAAAATATTTTTTTCAAACGCATTATATTTTGTTGTAAAGGATTTCTTTATTTTTAAAGGAATTTGACACTCTAATTATCCATGAACATTAAGATTAACGTTGAGCTAACCAAGCTGCAAAACATGAAGACATGAAGCTGGCTCTCATAGACGGTATAAAACATTTTTCCGGGTTGGAAAAATAAAGACAGCATCGATCTGCATTCCGGCGGCTACCAGATGGCGATACCTGTGGTTGCTAAAAGACTTCCAATCCCATAGATGTCTGTTGGCTTCTGTCTCTACCTCTGTTAACGCATTCCTGCTGGACTTATAGCCTCATTCACTCATTTTGGGTCATATTAAATTAAAAAAGGTTGTGTTTTGTAAAGCTTGTTCATACCATGTTTCAAAATGAAGAATCTATGATATCAAACCTTAAAAGACAGTCAGCTGTCAATAACAGGAAATTACCCAGTGAGCATGTAGTCTAATATTAAAACCCGCCCTTCTACTTTTGTGACATCAAGATGACAGAAAGGCTCAGCTCAACACTTCAAAACAAGATTTCACAAACCAACAAATTACGTAAAAGTAGGTCACAGTCATTATAGCTAAGTTGTCTTTTTTAATGTGTTATGGCTCCAAGAGGGACTCAGTCCTTATACACTTTTCATAAAGTTACATAATAGATAGAAATACTTTTTTATACAACCTGATAATTTAGCACTGACTGGAAAATGTTAATATCTAAACATTTCTTTACCAAGACTATTGCAACTTTGTGTGACTGGCTGCTTTCAATACATGTAGCGTTAGCTGCTAGCTTTTAACTTCACTTTAGCTCTGCTAATTGGCATCAGAGAGCTCGACTCAAATTGACAGTGGTTAACATACAAACCATCGAAGAAGGCTATACTCCAGCGCTGGTGAGTGATGCTCTCTTATTTTATAGGTATGCTACTTAATTAGCAGCTAGCTGTACGTTAGCCAAGCTAGCTAGTCGCTTTTATCATGTAATGCTAAAATCCAGGTGAAGGTAGCTTCACTTCTCATGTTTTATTCCCAGATGCCACATTTTATAAAAAAAAAAAAACAACAACTTTCTTTTTTTGAGTTTTTCTAATTTAAGTTAAATTTAATTACAAATCCCATGAACTGTTTCTTCAAGGCACTTTATAAACGTTTAATGGTGTGTTGCTAAATAAGTCACAAGCCTGCATTTCCAAGTTCCTAGTTGGAATTTGATTCTGGAACTCCCCCTCAACTCACATTTACCACTCGGAAAGTTGAAGCAAAGTCGAACCAACCCAAACGTAACATTGCAAGATGGCAACACATAACGTAAACAGCAGTAAAACTGTAAACTTTTAATCCCTTGCACTGATCAGGCTCTACCCATGAATGTGTTTTTAAGGGCACAAACTAGTATTATGCTGTACTACTAGTGAAACCAACCAAAACGAATCCTGTTTTTCCTCAAATTTTCTGGGACATGCTAACTCAGAAGTGACATCACTCCCAAGTTACAACATCCGAGTTCTGAGGTATCTGGAGCGAAGCAAAAGATTAACCATGAGAAAACCCCAACAGCCATTTGCTGAGACTGGTTGGGGGTAAAGGTTGAATGACCCAAATGAAGTGCTGACACTTTTTAAACCAGACCAGCAAATTTTACTGCAGCAAAGATATTTGGTCCCTGATCACATTTACTTAATAAACACAACTGACCATGTTCGAGGGTGGGAAGCCAGTTAGGGATGATGCCCTTCCAGCAGCTCTTGGTGGTTGGCTAAGTCCATGGGGGTTCATCATAACCCCCCTTTAGTAATGCTCTTCCCTAGCCTGGAGAGTAATACAGCTTCATTGAGCATTTTTGAGCTGGAGTTTAAAAAGAGGAAGAAGAGTGTAAAGTGTAGCAATAAGGTTTTCTATGGACTGTGTGTGCTCTCGCTGTTTCCCTGGCAACGGACATATTGACATGCTGCAGTGCTGCTGCTGGAAGTTGGCGGGCAGCCAGGAAGTACCCTGCCTGCACACAATCTCACATTCAGTTCTTTGCCAGCACTATCACTCCAGCTTCACGCAATTCCCATCTCACTTTTGTTCCCCATGTTGGTGGGTTTCTGAGACCAGCTGAACGCCAGTCTGAAGACTAATGACTTGGGTGGATTGTGCAGCGTGTGTTTGTTGGGTGTTGTTAGGCAGAGAGAGGAAAAAGAAAGACAGCACGATGGGGGGAGGGAGAGCGAGTAAGAGCCAGAGAAAAACATGGAGGTAGGAGGGAGGGGTGAAGTCTGTGCCATGCGGTGCTTGCATGTTAAGATGAATAGAGGGAAAGGAGAGGCTCGTGTTATGTTACAGGAACATAGTAGAGGCTCGGGGGGTTGGGCTCTACATCAACAGATGGATAAACCCGAGAGAAGAATGCGTGCCAAGCGCCAAATGTATCAGCGGCTTGCTGGGGCATGAAAATGTCAGGTGTCAGCGGCGAGCCACGCGGTCGCTGCTATTTATACAATCCACCATGTGCTGAATGTACACATAAGGCCTTGTGAACGAGGATGACGGGGGCTAAGGGTAGGAGTATTGCCATGCAGAGGAGGAGGAGAACTGGATAGATGAGTGGCTGACTCACCTCTTTATCTGCCATGGATACAGACAGCCTGAGAGGAGCCTCTGTGGCCCTATGTGTTCACTTGGGTTGGGCACGGAAATGTCAACACTACAGAGGGTTGCACATATCTAACAACCTCATAGAGGGATAAGGGCTAGCATTATCTCATCACTGCTGGGAAAGCTGTACTTAGATCTGGGGCAAGTGTTGACTGGTCATGTTAGGAACACACAAAACACACACTAGCTACCACATTTCATGCTTTCTTTTTCTGCCGCCGTCTTCGAGGGGCAACAAAATGACACATGCAGCTCGGAAAGGAAATTCGCCACAGCTCCATGCTGACTGAAAGCAATTTAGTGGGTTCTTACTCTCCAATTAGTGACCGGCTGGTGAACGAGTAACCCCATCAAAACACATCAGTTGGCATTTTGTTGCACGGCCTTTTTGCAAAGCCCTCGGGCTCTATGTCAACTGCGTCCTTGTCCGGACAAAGCCTCCTAAACCCGGGATTTCATTTCCACATTGTGCCCCGGTGTCCCCTTCATTGTTGATTTTTCCACTATGTGCAAGGCCAGGGCATTTGTACCAGTCTGTTAGGCCCACGTCAAAAGGAAAAGTATCTGCTGTTGATGGCTGGGCCATTCTTGTTATTCATGTCATGCCTGGTGGTTTAGTAGGGCAGGGTGCAGAATTTTCCAGAAGCAGCTGTGTGCTAGTGAAACTGACAGCGTGCCAGCCCGAAAGGGTTTCTATCTCTCTCCTCTCTCTCTCTCTCCAAAAGCCTCCCGCCCCTCCCTTCCCCTCCATCGGCATGCTTGGCTCGACGCCCGGACTTACTCAAACTCACACTCAACCAGAAATATCCGCTCTCTCCCCCCTCCTCCCTCCCTTGAACATATCCCTCTGGCTGAACAGAGAAGCTTCCATCACTGCGGATGACATTGGATCATTTTTCTCCCCCTGCACATTCCAGCCAAAGAGGAGGACAAGGGAGGGGAGCGGCTGCTGTTCCTGCTCTGTGATTATATCATTACAGAGCAGCAGACATGTATACAGTATATCAAGCGCAACCTGTCATTAGCATACTTTATTTCGTGATGGCTAAATACAAGTGCGCTTTTGTTGGATTCAAATAGATGGATGGATCGCCTTTGTGCCCGCACGGCAGAGTTTAATCTGCAAATGCTTTCCTCCGAGCACTCTGAATTTCACTCCATCAACCTTGAGCTATAAAAACCCTTCTGTTATTTACTGTACCATTATCCGCCACCCCCAACCTCAGACACCTGTTGTGACATAGCTCTGCCCGAGCTATCAGATACTCCAAAACGGCTCTGCTTGCGATCTAAATAAACCTGCCTGAGCGACGCAGGTTGTGTAACGCACTCGAAGTCACCGGCTCTAATAATAGACCACACCTGTCAAGCACAGGCCCTGCTTGTTCTCTGTGCTGACCTGACCTCCTCTCGCTCCTTAACGCCAACTCAAACGTTCCGCTGCTGGGAAGATAACCTAAACAGTTCCCGAGAAAATTAGTTCAAACAAACACAGAAAACAATAGGAGCAGAGGGGGAACGAGAGGTGGAGGTGAAATCAAGAGAATAGAGCACTTGATTGGCAAGGGAGACCAAACAAAGGCGATAAAAGCTTTATTCTGCCTCTGTAGAGATTGTGCTATGGCTGCCACTATAAGCCTTGATTGACAACAACATTAGCACTCGGTGAAGAAATGGCTCCCACTCACTGTTATGTAACATAAAAAAAATACAGCGAATTTGTGGACGGGTGTTCGTACGTGTGTGTGTTTGTGTGTGTGGGCATGTACGCATGACGTATTCCCAGATAAAAACAAAAGTGACAGGATATCTAAGAGTGTTGTTCTTATCTTCTGACAACTGTATGCCTTTAAGGAGATGAAAGGCGATGTACAACACACTGAAGATCTCTCAGGAATCCTGGATTTATGCAGCACATAAAAGTTGTCTCAGACATTTTTTGTGTGTGTGTGTGTGTGGTGCTTTGTTGTTTGGCAACACGACAGTGAAAGTTTAATTGCGTGTTTGCGGCGGAGGCAGCTGATCTCGTTGCACGCAGACACGGAGTGCTGTGTCCCGGCTTGACCTGGCCATAATTGCCCCCCTCCCTCTCTCATCCCCTGGCCATAACCCTAGAGAGGAGCAGGCAAGGAGCAGAAAGGGACGGCAGGAAATGAGCAACCCATAATACATCACCACAGATCTGCTGACACACCCCAGGGACCAAGCGATTCATCAGACCACCAGCCCGCCCTCTCATCAGGACATTCAGATACAGACCAGCAGTGCAAAGAAGGCTGCAATCAGATGGACGGCTAAAGCATTTTTTTTGCTGCATCATATCACTGCAGTGTTTCCTTTTTTTTGTCTCAACATGAATCAAGATTATTAGAAATGATCTGTTTAACCTCTGTACTGTGACCGGGGCACACTCGACTCCCCGTACATAGGCTTGGCATCATTATTCAAGCTTTAAAGGCAGATGGCCCTCAGAAGCCATCGCATCCATGAAATCCAGGCTCTCAGCTGACTATACAAGCATCTTGGGGGTGCAGAGAGACAGACAGTCACCTGAACACCCCCCCCCCCACACACACACACACACACACACACACACACACACAGACACGCAAACACAAGCTTGCACACTGTAACCACCACAAGCTGACAGCTCAACCAAAGCCTCATTCACCAAACACACAGGGGAAAAGACAGCACTTTTTTGAGCAACACTCCACCAGACAGTCAATCACTATGATTGCATCTGAGTTTCTGAAAAGGTCTGGCTCCCAGTCCTTCTGTATATATAGTGCATTTTCATGAACTCTAGTTCATTTTGAATCTTTCCCAAAAAAACCTCAAAGCACTGAAAATCCACAGCAGGGCGGCAGGCTGAGGATCCTTCTAGATCAAAGTGGTGCTCGCTGCTCCCGTATTTACTTTTAGCATGGCTCTTATTGCCAGCTAAATCTAACTTTAGTTTGGCATGTCAAAGGCAGCAGCAAGCATCTTACTACCCTGACTGGCACGCACCTCCCAAAGGCCCAAAATACTGTGTCCGGAAGGTAAAGAAGTCGTGGCTTCTATTAAACACGACTGCATTTCTGTCATTATTAAAACTCTGCAGGGGTGTGTTTATGTTACAAATGTCTCCAGTGGAGCAAATTTAGACCTCCTTGTGGCCTATTTTCTCCAGCCATGTTGTTATGTACCAAAAATTCTCGATTGCACGCGATAACAGTCCCCTCACACGCCTCCTGTTTTTCATTTGGCATAGTAGCACCACGCCATCTTATCAGCTGATCCTGAGCCAGAAGCTAGGAGTAGTTGCTCAGCAGAAAGAGGAGGGATTGTGCTGGGCTCGGCTATAATATGAGAGAAAGCCCAAATGCTCTTGGATCAGTCCCATGCTTTGTCCTCATCCCTCATGTTGCCTCTCTCCCTCGTTCATTTTTCATCCTCTCTCCTTTCATCTTTTTCTCCTACGCTTCTCTCCTTCCTCTGCATCCTGCTCACTCTCTTCTTCCACCTCTCTCTCTCTCTGCTCCACTTATAAGATTTGGCAGCACTCCAAGATCTGAGAAAAACATTGGAGGCATAGCCTCGTTCTGATGTCTGGAAAGAGGGGGAGACTGAGAGAGTGAGAGAGCGCCAGAGTCCTCATTTCCATTTCACAGACTCCATTCACTGCAACACCAGAGCAAAAAGGGAGAATACAGGAATACGGAGAGATTGAGTCAGAGAGAAATGGATGGATGGAAAGATAAGGCAGGAAGCGATCGCAAGGAAGAAAAATGGAAAATTAGGTTCCCAAACCGCAGCGATAAAGCTAATAAAGAAATCCAGAGACAAACATGAAGCATGAAGTGAGGGAAAGGTGTCCCCATACTATCTTTTAAACAAAAAAACAAACAAAAAAGCTGTGTGTGCCCTCTTAAAGACACTGTTTTTGTGTATGTTCAGTTCCACTGCCATCCAAAACTACATTTAAACACATGTAATTACAGCAGAGAAAACACTGAACAATTCATGGTGCTCTTGCAGTAAACAAGCCTCATACCAGTTTGAGGGGAAAAACACACATACACACACATTTTGGCACTCAGCATTGTAATCATCTTAACTTTGCTGGCCTTCATGGTAAACAGGCCAGTCAGATGTAACACCCCCCCGGCCCCTCTCCCCACTCTGCGGACCAAGCCAAGAATCGGAAGGGAAATTTTACACATCCTGCGGATCCTCCTAATTGCTGGTTGAAGCCCCAGCTTCTCCCCCGGTGCTGAGAAGAGAAACCGTCATTACCAGTCTCGCAGGAGCCCGAGCCCAGCACCAAAGGGGAACTTTGATTGATGAAGAGAAAAAGAAGCAGATCTGAGCGTGTCCTCGATACAACATTTGCTGTGACCTTGTTTTCCCTGACAGGTCTAAAATTAACCAAGCGGCTCAGTTATACTGGGAGTGGAGAAATGTAGACCAGATTCTCCTTTTGGCGCGTCCCCGTCTCTGCTTCGCTTTCAGGGGATTACAGCAGCACGAGCACGCCTTTTGATTTATTGTGCTAAACATGGATTCATTAGTGAAACAGCTGGCTACATTGAGTGCTTTAGTGTCTCCCACACAGGCCTTCCCTCCCTCCACCCACCCACTGGACCATATTCAACATTTTTTGATGTAAAATAAATGCCTAAGGATTAGAATTTGTAGTTGTGTTTTTCAATGAACACGCTGTCAGCATTGGCGTCACGCTTGGCTGATGTTTCGAACAAAACGAACGTCAACAAATACGATTATCTTTTTTAAAAACGGTGTCATTTTCTGAGTATTTTTCCATACGTGAAGGAGAAACGCTTATCTGTGCGGTCAAGTGCTAGAATAAACTCATCTAGTGCTGTAAAGACAACAAATATGAACTCTGAGTTTTACTATCGCGCCGACATCTTTGCGTAATGCCCGAGTTAATCATTACCAGGAGCCAAGCAGCACACACTGGCTGCGTCACCTATCTGTTATTGCCTTTCACTTAGCTTGATTAACTGGATTGTGTCGAGTCAATGTCGATCAAACAGTCAATGAAGGATTTTATGACCATTGATTGGACCCGCGGCCGCCTGATGAAAGATCGCCGGATTTCAGGGATATTTCAAACACTTGACTGTAGCCCAGCAAAAGCCCCAAGTTGCTATCCGGAAGCAGTGGGAAGAGAAGGAATCGAATTAAACTTTACCCAAGGTTGGACTTGGATTTCACCCGGTCAGGTTTTCTATAAATCATTTGAGGGTAAAAACACATCAAAGTCAGGAGCGTTCGCCTCACAAGCAGGGCTTAGACATTAAAAATCCCTGAAGGTTCGTGTAAGTAAACATAATAAAAACGTGAGTCATTAACCACAAATGGTTCCTGCGTGATCGTACCGAAAGCAGGAGAGATGATTCACTTTTTTTTTTTCTAAAAAAGAAAAGATGTATAATCAGAAAAATTAAAGCCGAACTTCATGCTATCAGCTCTGTGCGGCCCTGATCCTCACATGCAGGCTGTTTACAGAAAAGCTCCCTCCCTGCATATTAACCAACAGCCTGCACTAGAGCATCTGCCGTGCACCGATTTCACCGGTAACCACGCAACACCAGAGTGCTGTGTTATGACAGAGCCACTTCCAGGGACACAGTATCACTGTATTAGATATGGCGCAAGCTATTTCAGTCACCACTGGACAAACAGGTACTGCGTCTGCTGTCATATATCTTTACGAGCACAGAGGAAAGCGAGAGAAGGAGACGTGTTCATTTTCGTCTCATTGCATCATCTTTCCAGGTTATAAAAACCTGGCTCTCAACTCTGATATTCTCAGATGTGGCAATTTTAATTTGGTTGGCAGTATAGTGTGATAAGGAACAAGTAGGTCAACGAGTCAACTGATTAACAAAAAAAATTAAATAAAATCTCTGAGAACACCACGTAAGGTGGAATAAGGGTGTGTTGTTGATGAGCACAGTAAAGTGCTGTCCTTTATCAATGTGGGCTGCATTTCTCGTTTTAAAGTCCAACTGATAAGATAGCTTTCCAAAGAACGGAAAAAGGGTGTATAAACAAACAGCTGCCTGGAAAACGCGCACTCATGAAAAACACGTTTCAAGCTTTAAATCATACTGTAAAAGCTGACGCGTGCTCTGAAGTTACCTTTAGAGTTTCCTTTATCCTTTGCAGCCCTTCCAGTCTTCTCGGTTAGGGGACAATAATTATACCTGCTATTCTTAGTTGGCTAAATGGGCGAGTGCAAAGGCTGTGTTTTCATTCAACATCATGAATCAATCAGTTAATCGGGGACACCATGCAGCCTGTTAAAGAAGCGGGTAATCACAGCTTTCAGGTGCCTTCCAAAAATACCATCTTAAACATGTCTGCCAGAGCAAGAAGGTCAGTAAATCCCCGGCTGAATAGCAGATTCATGGGCACCACGGTGAACAGTAAAGCAACAATGTCAGAGCAGTTTGTGGGCCTTTAATGAAGAAGAAGAAAAAAAACAATCTGCTTTTGGATTGTGTGCTCTGTTTGAAAAATCAGGGAGCTAGCAAGAAGCAGATTACGTCTGAAAATAATTACGCAACTGCCTGCTAACACCAAGCCCTCATTTCTGCTAGATATCATCCTCCATGTCTGGGTCTGTGTGGTCAGCTACTCGGGAGCTCTTTGTCTGAGAGAGAGCAAAAATAGTCTCAGGATTGCTTTTCATCTAGACATACAGTAGCTGCAGTTTGTCACTTAATGGCCCACTGTAAGCTCCTCAATGCTTGTAGAGACCAGTAAGGGCTGCCATTAGCGATACAAGAGTTTGTAGGGGGTTTTGTGCACGTTTGTGTGTGACTCCACTGTCAAAGAAATTGCAGCAGCAGTTGCATTTACATTTGAAGGCATACAGAGGGAGGCTGGCATGTAAGGCAGCGTGGATGTTTACTCCGTTCTCAGCGTGGGGAAGGGTGCTGCATTATGAGTGCATGTTCAGTGTGACACAAAAGGCTAAAACCGAAAGCAAACAGTGTGTTGCTGCAGTGCTAATTGTACCTAACGTATGCTTGGAGTTGGTTTGTGAAGCTGATTTTATTCATTATCTGGAGTTTGTCATCTGCAGACTAAACCAAAAGTATGTTTTTTAATAAAAAAATTCTCTCTCCTTACATATATATATATATATAGGGAGAGAGAGAGAGATAAGTTATATGTGTAATAAAACAAAAAAAGCCAAACACCTTTGTGACGTCAGACACAATCTGCATACAAGCTTGGAAAATACACGTCACCAGAAAAAAAACCCAAGGGTGGTTATTTTCAGGAAAAGTCCAAATTTGCGGTCACACGGCGTGGTTTGTACTATTGTATCATGTTGACATTCATGCACGTTTTCATTACTGACTCGACAGATTCCAGCTGACTGAACATGACTTGGCACCTAGTTCTGCAATCAGTTACAGCGATGCACAAAAGTCGAGGACAGTGTGTCTTGTATTTTTTTTCTTTTTTCTTGTTTTTTTCCCAGCCAAGCTTCTCCATGAATCACATAAGACATGTGTGCATAAAGAGAGACAGAAAAAAAAAGGCTCTTCCGTCCTGCAGCTTGAAACAGTAGCCTGCTCATGTTGTGCTGTGTTGTGTTGTGTGCAGCGTAAATCAAGTCTCCTGAGCCGTCACAACAACAAGCCTGCATGTCAGAGCCGAGAGCGCTCTCGTCATCTGTCCACAGCCCCTTGTGTCACTTATTCACTCAAAATGAAGCAAGCTCAGACAATATGTTCATACAAGATCAGAAATTGTATTTGGCAATTTTTAAACAAGTGCATACAAGTACAGCTAAAAGCATTTTTAGTTTTGCCAAGTGCTCGTAGAGTAGCATTAGTCACATTCTACGTTAAACAGGAACTGCCACCAGACCTAGAAGTACATCAAGAATTTTTTGTTAAACATCAACAAAGAGGAACGTAGTTCATTATAATGAGTACATACCTTTATCTTCAAAAATATAGAAACACAATGTATTCAAAAATCAAAAATTATACAACCATGTTTTACGAAGTATACTCTTCCCTTGGGTCCAATATGTACAAGTCCGTTAGTTTGTTTGAATGGTATGTATGTGATATTTATATATTTATACTCATATTTTTTTGCTTCCCCTCCCCAAAGAAGTGTTCAGACAAAAAAAAAAAAGAAAAAAATCAAGGGTCCCTCTCCTTTTTTACTTTGACATCTCCTGCAAGGATGGTGGCGATTTCTCCTTGCATGAAAGCCCATGGTACGTTCGAGCCAACCAGGGGGCATTTCTCTCCACTTGGACAGTACACTTCACCCGTGGCGCCTTGCTGCTTTATGCTTTCCCTTGAGCATGGGAAGCAGAACTTGTGAGAGGGCACAGACGGGCACTGAACAAAGTGTGTGTCCTCCAAACGCTCGTGGCACAGCGTGCAGCACAGAGGTATGCTGCTGGGTACAGAGGAGTCCGGAATGCTTTGTGGGGGGTGCACTTGGTCCATGCCTGGCACATGGGGGGTGCCTGCACTCGGCGCCTCTCTCTGCGCCAGCCTCCTCTGATTAATGGAGGACGGCGACAGGGGGCTGCTGCTGTTCCTCCGGGTGGTGGAGTGGACTTGGTTGGCGTCCTTGGGAGAGCTGTTCCCACCTGCGTTGTCTGCAGCCATGATGAGCGCCGCCATGGGGGACTGACCATTCTGAGCTGCCTCCGGTGGGGTGGTGCGGGAGTGAGGGGATATTGTGGAAGGGGGAGAGGCGAAGCTTGGCGGGGGAACTGGAGGCATTTTCAGTCCGTCAGTAGGTGGTGGTAACCACTGCTGTCCCTCTCCGTTGAGCTTGGCAGCTGTCGCCTCTCCCTCCGGTTCAGGTGATGCTTTTCTCTTGTTGCTCCCCCGGGGATGTTTTCCTCTGTCTGGAGGTAGGAAAGGGTTAAACAGAGCAGTTGAGTTGCACAGCTCATACAAGGATCAACAATTAGCCTGAAAGGGAGATGTGAATTTTGCCAATTCGTGCTGCACCACAGGCTACAAAACAATAACAAACACAGCAAAGGATTCAAAAAATTTATTTATAGCCCTTATAATATTAGGGCATGGCTTTATAAATACCATTTTTACCATCTTGACACATTCCTGGGTGGAAAATTAATAAATCAGTAATAAAAAATTACAATTTTAAAAATACACAGTATAGATAAAATATTCCTGCCTTTTAATGCTCACCTGACTTGGAAAGAGTGGGGCCGGGCTCATAGACCATAGCTCTTTGTGGCATGGGCACATGGTCCTTCTTGTACCTGGTCTCGAACGTGGTGTGCAGAGCCATCAGGTCCCTCACCGTTTTGCCTTTGCCCATCCAGTCCGGGTCTGCCCTGTTTTTGTGGCTCTCCGAGATCTCCGGCGTGAGACTGTCGGGTCTGTGCTTCTCCTTCAGCTCTCTGTCGTGCTCGGTGCTGGAGACCGAGGCGGGTCTCTTGCCCATGTCGGCGGGACTACCGCCCGCCAGAGTGGAGGAAAGCCCGATCGGGTTCCTGCCGTTGACGGCATGCCCCGGGGTCAAGCCCCCGTTAGGCAAAGGCACTAAATTCGGGGGCACCGTGTTATTCCTGCGCGGGTTGGGGCTCTGGCGGTTCAGCTCTGGTGGCTCGTCAGGCTTAGGAAATCCATTAGGGAGCTGGATGCCGTTTGTCTGCCCTCTAGGCTGATACTCTGGACCCAGCCTGGGCGGGCGGTCGGACAGAGGGTAGCGGTCCAGAGGCTGCGGCGGCCGGGAGCCCGGATCTCCCCCCGCAGCGTGGTTGATCGCCTGGATCTCCTTCCCGGAGAGCTGCGACTTCCCCGGCCCGGGAGACCTGCCCTCCTGAAAACCGTGAGCCCTTTTAAGCTGTCGGGCCGTCTCGATGACAAACTCAATGCGGTCTGCTCCTTCGTAGTTGACACATCCCCTGCAGACGGGCTCGGTAAAATCCCAGATCATGGCCCAAGGCATGCGGGGCAAGTCGCATAAATAACACGACTGCCTCCTGGAAGAAGCAGCGACCGCCGCGGACGACATAGCGCTCGTCGTCGACCCCCCGAAAAGAAACCCAAAATGTTGCCTTCTTCCCCCGCTCTCTCTTGTTTTTTTTCCTTCCTCCCGAACTCCCCCGCAAAAAGAAAGCGAATAAAGAGCAATTTCCGTTAGTCGAACAACAACAAAAAAAATGTAATCTCGTCCTCTCTCCGACTTCTAGAGCAACAAGGTTGAAGTTTTAGAGGGAGAAGTTCATGACGGTGTGTACTTTACTACGGCGCTCCTCTATCTATCTCCACTGACTCTCCTCTACTACTGGCTCAATGTAGAAAGTGACGTCACAGCACTAAGCGCCTACATCCACTTCAGTTTCTATTGACTTGATTTCTTCGACAGACCCCTCCACCCCCCCTCCACCACCATCACTACCACCACCACCTCTCCCCCCACTTTACTGCAGCCTCTTGTCACTCACCACTTTTCTCTCTCTCTCCCTTTTTTAATATTTTAACTTAATCACCTGAGCTTCTGCCAACAAAAAAGGCACCCAGTTCAGCTTCACCTCCGACTCCGGAATAACCCACGCTACTGTTATTATTATCATCAAACCTGCAAAAAAAATAGGTCCACCGGTACCAGCCTGCACGCTGCTAAAAGAAATATGGCTGTAGGTTAGCAACAGACCGCCAGGGGATAATAAAAAAAAAGCGACTTTCAAGCTCCTCCGGTTGCTGCTTTGTCCTAAATTCAGAGCATTATCCGGTTCAGGCTGCAGCTTGTTTTTCTCAATGCACCGCGCCTCGACGCAGTGAGCTGCTGCTACTACTACTGTGCACTGAATGAGGTGGGTCGACCCTGAGAAAAACAGCGATTGTAATCCAATGGCAGATCTTATATTTATACAGAGGGTCTCAAAAATGTGTTATTGTAGCACATGGGCACAATTTACAGGCTTATTGGAGCGACTTTACAGCCCGCATTTTCTCTCTTTTATTTGTGCCAGCTCACCAGGGTGAATTCAGGATGTACACTGTTAGCCTTTTAGTTATGATTAGATAATATTTTCCTGGCTTGTTAATGTTTAAAGAAAAGAATGAGAGAGGGAGAGGAGAAGAAGAAGAAAAAAAGGCGCCTCCACCAGCCAGTAACCAGGAAGCTCAGTCATGAGGTGGGGATTTCCAGCCAGTGTGTTGTGAACTTGAATGGATTGGGGTTACAGCATGAATATAGCCTGCTGTAGCTGTGCCCACATATATATATATATATTTTTTTTTAATATTCCTGTGCACGGAGCAGTCCAAATCTGCCACTGCTGAAATGAAATGAAATGGCACTGGAGTGAATTAGCGATTCAGACTCATTTCAAGCGACTTTAGCAGTCAAAGCAGCTCAACAGATATTAGTATGAAAGATTTAACAAGATTAATGACTCCACTCTAGTGTGGCATGTTTTACAGAAAGGCAAAAAGAAAGAAATGTTATTAGAAACAGGTCATGTGGCATAACCTCAGCCAAAATCCCCTGAAGTAAAAGTGGAGAGGCTTTTTGAAGTGGAGGAGTTGTCCCAGTAGTTCATTCCTCCCTCTCATCTGGTCTCATTCCAACTCATTGCAGCTTAGCCTCAGGCTTTGGGTGAGGCAATGCGTCTGAAACCTGCAGACACAAAGCAGGATATGTTTGTGCAAGTCCATGTGACGTTGGAAAAGAGGAAGCAAGATGTTTAGTCACGTACCCTCATCCGCCTCACCCTTCGACAGAACATCAGGCTATTCTGGCTCCCTGCCTGCCACCGTGATCCTGCGCTGTGGCGTTTTCTTCAAAGGATTACCAGAAACAAAACAAGACACGTATGCTCATGTGTTACCGCCAAGTACGTTGCCATATTGTTTTGTTATTCCCGTAAAGCTGCCGCTATGTGAATGGGGACATTTTGCAGTGAAAGAGGATATTTAAATAAAGTTTAACCCCCCCCCCTCCACCCCCCCTTCTCTGTTAACACTGCATTGTCCCACTGCTTCCCATCGCCGCTTTCTCTCAAAACTCAGTCCCGTTTTGGATGGACAACACTAGGAAGTGTTGTTCGGCTTTATGACATAGTTAGGAAACGGCTGTTGTGAGGGACAAACTAAACAAATTCTTTCCTTTCTTCAGATTGGTGGGAAAATTGTTGCCTAATGCTTTGATCCTTTGGTTTCCACTCAGTCGATGTTTGTGCAAGCAAATAGCTGCACGGCCAAATAGCTATTATGCAAGACAGAGGCATGCTGTGATTCAATTAAATCCTAAATGACCTGATTCTATAATAAGTAGATCTACTGATTTGAAAAATAAAATGCTGCAGTGTGCTATGAAGCAAAGGCAGAGCTGTACTGAACAGAGGCAGCAAAGGTCTGAGAGGAAGCCAGACATGCACAGATTGTTCTGACTGGCCAATATGAATCGTGTACATACAGTGAAAATCACCACAGTGTCACCTGGGCAGTGGCAGGGTGTATAAAGCTGTATAAAGCAGTTTTGAACTTCTTTTTTTTTTTCATGAGTATGTAAATTGAGACGTGAGGAGGCTAAATAAAGAGTGCGAGGTAGGTGACGGCCAGGGGAATACCCAGCATGTGACAGCATCGCGGGGCTGGTGAGATGATGATATTTGCGTCTCATCGCTCTCCGAGACTGTTAAATTTTATATTGGAGATCTTTTATTTATGCCAGCGAAACATTACAGATTCTCTGTGAAGTCTTCTGCCTAAGCAGAGCGCAAGCACTGGATTTTTTTTCCCTCTTGTGTCGTCCTCACTGCCAACATTTTATGTTATATAACCTTTTTAGAAGAACTGCTGAGGCGAGCATCAAACAAAACTGTAACATGTTGCACCGACACAAAGGGAGGTTACAACAGGATAGTGCGAGTTAAGCAGCTGTGGTCGTGACCCTGTCTTGAAGATTTAACTGGCAAAAGTATAAAGAGTCAATGTAAGGACTTTAACGTGCAGAGCTCCTGGAGCTTGGAAGAGGAAGAGGTAACCATAGAGATTATCACAGTAGGCTACCCCCAGCTACCATATATATCCTGTTTACGGTGCTATTTTTAGCCACACTTTTGCACAGCAAGGATTAAAGGGCTGATTATTTTTTAAAAAAAGGAAAAAGATCTGCAGAGCTCTGAAAGCTAATGAGCATCCATCTGCCGCCTCACCTCCCTTATTAGCGTTAGTTTGAGTATGTTTTGATTTTTTTTTTTCCGTGCAGATTCGTTCCTCATCGTGTTCGCTTGTGTTTAGAGCGGAGAAGCCGTGTGTGCGGCACATGGCAATTACAAACAAACAAATTATGGGATTTTTAAAGTCAGGTATAAAATGGTGGAATTCAAATAAAATGGAGGGTCGAAAGGGGGAAAAAATGTGCTGGGCGGCTGGAATCTGGGGGCTGGAGGCTGCAGAGGTGATGTCATTGGGCCGGAGCAAGAAGCGAGTGAAAAACAAGTCTCTCTCTTTATTCTGATCCTCTTTGCAGTCCTAGCAAGGGGAGGGGAGGAGAGGGGAGGGGGGGCTGGCAGTCAGCCAAGGCAAGGGCTGCTGGGAAATGGCAGAGGATGCCAAGCAGGCCCCACCGCCAACATTAGAAGCTCACATCTTTGTTCTCAGAAACCTGGTGTGCTGCCAAAGGCCTCATTTCAGCTCCATGGCATGATTACACTGGATGTAGGCCAACTACTGAGAGCTACTCTCCCTCTATCTCTAGCTCTCCCTTTATGCTCCCTCTCTCTCTTTTTCCACTGCCTTCAAAAGCTTTCTGCCAAACATGCAGCAGTTGCCATGGCTGCAGAGAATGGGACATAAAAAAAAGTGAGTAATGAGTCAGGCTTGGACCCAGATGTGCCACATGTGTATCCATTTAGAAAAAAAACTCAAGATGGTAACATATCCTCTTAATCTGCCGGGCTTTTTGGGACTCAGACAGCTTGGTTAAAACAAAACAAAAAAAAAAAAACCCCACTGTGCTGAGATGGGAAAGTGGAAGAATTAAAAAAAACAACAAAACAAGAAAAAATCCCCACAGAAAAATGTAAATGAACAGCATTGTTTTCACATCCATTTTTTTCAACAGAAGGTAGTTTCAGTGGCCTGCAGTACAGATTCGGTTTGGGCAACCAGGAACAGAAAGAGCTGAACTTTGCTTCTGTAATGCCGCGCTTAAGCGAGCTTGCATGCATGGCTGGCTGACGACATCATTTCCTGTCCAGTGGAAACCCCCGTGTATTTTCAGTCATAACCAGACGTTAATGTAAACAACCTTTCTCTTATTTTTTGTTTTGTTTTGTTTTGTTTTTGTAGCTAAATCAGCACATGGCGTGACCTCAATGAATCACAATGCAGCTTCAGCCTCTTTTCATTATCTGAGGTTCAATTCAAAAGCCACTATTAGCCGCATTCCTTGCACAAGTCAATGCTGTCTTATTTATTGGCCTTAAAAGGCAGTTTCAAACCTGACTCACGGTTGTTATGTTTAGCATACTGAAGTGATCTGTGGAGTCATTTCAGCTCTCTGTGGCTTACTCAGACAAAATGTTAAAAATGTCAACACAGACACATTTATAATTTCCAGAAGGACAACATCGCCCACGGCCACTCCTACAGCAGCAATGCAGTGGTTTCTGTGCACCTGGTTTGTTCTTGACAGATCACCCTGCAAACTCCAAAGACATCACTCTGTAGAGCTCTGTAGTGTGTCTGAGCACATGTGCCTGTGTTAGATGGAAGTATAAATTTGGACACATAGCTTCTTTTTTTTAAAAATAGAGAAGCATGAAGAGTATTTCATGTGTTATGTAACCTCTTTCTCTGAGCATGAGTCAAAATATAACTTTTCCAAAGTAGGCTTATTTATTACTGCAGCTCCTGTCCATTTATTTGCTAGAAATGGACTCTGATGTTCCCGGAGAAAGCAGTTGGCACGGCACAGCTCAGGCTTGCAGATTCTTGCTGTCCTTTCCAGTTATTAGTTCGAAAACACAACTGATTTGTTTCATTCTTTCAACTGAAGTTGTGTAAATCCTTGGCAAATAATCCCTAAAAGAACGTATGCACATGCATATTTATAACTCCTTTATTTAGAAGCTGTTTCAGCGTGTCTATTGGAAGAAGATCAAAGCTGCTCCTTTTCTAGTAACGTTTGCCTTGAAAGCAAATGGATGTATTATCCCTCTGATGTACAGAATACAAATAACATGACTGTGAGAGTCACCAAGAATAGCAATCTGACCTAATTGGAAAACCTCAAGTCTTCTCATTTTGGAGGAAGTTCTTCATAAATAGCATGTGGCTTGTTCAGCTCAGGAAAGCAAGGAAGATCATGGATAATGCGACTGTGGT